TTTTATGGGCTGCTTTTCCGCTCCTTGTTTGAATATAACATCTGATAAACAAGAGAAATATATATATATCTCTATTATTATTGTGTTGTTATTATTGAAGTAATTGTAATAATAATAAAATTTTTTTCTTGCATACACAAGAACTTCCAGTTTCATATAATATCATTTCAACGTCACCAAATTGGTTTAAATAATTCTTTTTTAAAAGAATATAATAATAAATCATAAGAGAAATTAATAGTTAATAAATTTTGCAACAAAATAAAAACAGTTACTAATTAATTTTCTATTAATTGACTAGGTAGGTTAATTACCAATAATTGTGATTTGTTCCAATCTGATGGAATATTTTCAGCATAAAGAATACGATGTGGTATTTTTTCTTGAGCATTTTGTAATAAGTTGAGATATTCATCTCTTAATCTGTTCCATTTAATTCTTGGGTTTTCAGGAAAGTGAATGAACGAACGAATGAATAATGCATCATGATGCTAATGTAATGTATTGCAATATAATATAAATGAAAGTTATTATCTTACATACTTTGGAATTATATGTAATTTAAGATCTTCTAGATTATAATCATTATCAGCTCCTCCATTTCCCATCTTTCCATTTACATCATTTGCTCCACCATCTTCTCCAAGATCCATCTTTTCATCTCCTTCTATCTTATTGTTACTATTATTATTATTATTATTATTATTATTATTATTATTATTGTGCCCAAGCATTTCAATTACTTTTGATACACTGTGTTTGTTATTGAAATAGACAAAACAAAATCCTCTAAATCTTCTTGATTCGTCATCTTTTAATAAAGGAAATTCAATAAAAGTCACACCAACACCATCATCACTGCCACCACCACCACTAGTTGACCTAATCTATTTAATCCCTCACCATTCCCACCATCTCCCCAATACCTATCATTCGACGTATGTTCTATTATCTCAGCACCACACGTAGAAAGTAATTTAAATCGTAAATAGTGAAATTGTGAAAATTTACACTTTAATGCTTTTTTCATAATTAACTCTTTGAATATCTTCCTGTCTTCTGACACCACCGATTCCCAATTTGCTCTTTTCTCTTTATCATATGATCTAGCAATTGAAAATGCTTCTCTTGCTGATTTTGCATATTGAATTTTTTTACGAATTGTTGGATTTTCAAATTTTGATGATTGAACTATCAATCCATTGATAAATATTATATTATTAATATTATATTTTGAGAAAGACATAGAAACATCTAAAGAACCACTTACAATAATGTTCAGTAGTTGGCCAATCTGCACCATCTATCGATATTTTCTTTATTGGATTATAAAAATTAGTAAACTCATAATAAAGTTCGTCCCTATTATAAAATTTGATTACTCCTTTTCCTGATCTGCTATAATATTCATACTTTATCACAAGGAAAAAATAAATAAATGAATATTAATATTAATGCGAGCAAGAATGCATTAATTCTAATTATACCTTACTTACCAAATGGTCCATAAGTAAAATAAAAGCATCCTTCATCGTTTCTCTACGAGCCAATAACAATGTAGCCCTGGCCTCTCGAAGTTCACGTTTGGTATAAGCTAAATTTGATTCAGTAACTTCTCTTATCACGATAATATCTATTGTATGAATATCACAAATATTGCGAATGCTTTTTATAAATCCTGTTAAAGGGACCATTCTCATTTCTCTGGGGTCTACATTTAAAATCACCACAATTCCGAATTGGTTTATCCAACAATTCAACGAACAATCTAGAATAAATTTTACAAGATTTCGAAATTCTGTTTCAAAATAATATACTGCATTTTTATTAAATGCATCATATATGATTTTATGTAATACAAATCCATCACAATCCTCTTGCTTCATGTCAAAATATTTGCTAATATTTTTATTTCCAAGTGTTATATCGAGTGCTAAGAATTTTGGAAACCGATTGGGTTTTAATTGATTTTTTCTTGAATTTATAATTGTTGAGCTACTATTTGAATATTCATTGTTAAGATAATTATAAGTGTCTCTTCTATTATTTGACAAATATTGATTTGAATTATTGGAATCACTAGAATTACTATTATTATGATTATTATAGAAATTATGATTATGAGGTTTGGATGATGAATTTCCAGCTTGATTTTGATCTTTATTTCGTTTTGTTTGATTTGATTGGTTTTGGTTTTGATTTCGATTTAATTGTTCCCCTTTTCTCTTCCTCTTCCGCCTTCCCTTCCCTTTCTTTCCCCCATTTTTCTCTTTTTCCTTTTCCTTCTCCCTCCCATTCTCTTCTTTTCCCTTCTCTTCTTTCTTTTTTTCCTTATCCTTCTCTTTATTTTTCTTCTCTTTATTTTTCTCTTCCTCCCCACCCTTCTCTTTTTCACGAATCATTTCTTCATGTTCTGATTTGGATTCAATTGGGTATTTCCCAGGCATATCATAACGATGCTGATCTATACAAATTTCAGTTTTTTCAATGACAATATCATCACCATCGTTGTTGTTGCCAACTTGCTGCAACTTATCCTTATTTTTTTTCTTTTTCTCTTCCTCCCCACCCTTCTCTTTTTCACGAATCATTTCTTCATGTACTGATTTGGATTCAATTGGGTATTGCCCAGGCATATCATAACGATGCTGATCCATACAAATTTCAGTTTTTTCAATGACAATATCATCACCATCGTTGTTGTTACCAACTTGCTGCAACTTATTCTTATTCTTATTATTGTTATTGTTATTGTTATTATTATTATATTCTTTATAATTACTATCATTATTACCATATTTATCATTATTTGTAGCAGCAAATTTTCCATTTTCTTTACCTGATCGTAACCCATCATTATCACCAAAAATAATATGTTGATTGTTGATTTGGTTTCTTGGATAAAATTTATCAAAATTATTTATTAAGATTTCAAGTTGACATCTATCATCGATAATGATATCAACTACATCATTATAACAATGATTGTGATTTTTATAATTTTTATTCTTTCCGTATTCAACAACTTCCCAGTAATCCATAATTTATTATATCAAGAAATTTTTTTTTATTTAATTAAAAAATAAAATTTTATTAAATAAAAAAAAATTAATTTATTTTATCTATTTTTTTTAATGATGGATGATGTAAGCATTGTAATTACAATCATAAAAATTATTATTATTATTTCAATTCCCAACTCAGCTCTAATCTTTTCCTAAATAATCTAAGTGTTAACATATTTTGGACCATTTCCACCTTCAGGAGTAACCCAATCTATATTCTGTGACACATCTTTAATATCACATGTTTTACAATGCACGCAATTTTGTGAATTTATTTGTAGTCGTTTTTTTGTATCCGAATCCGTTTCATCATCAACAAATTCATACACTCCAGCTATAAACACATATGCGTGCGTGTGATTGGATAAAATGTTAATCAAATGTAGACATCATGACTAATAAATCAACTATTCAAAAAAAATATGCATTTGCCTGGACAAAATCTTCCTTCTGGACCATCAAATATCTTTAGATTTCTTTCAACCGGTACTTTCTCATCTCTCAACCTTAAACGCACAGGTTGGTTTTCTGAATGATTGGTTCCACTCCTTGACACACTTTCCAGAAGATCAAAAGTTATCTTACCATCAGGTTTAGGATATTCTATTGGCTTGCACTCTCTATATAATTAGAGATATAATTGTGTAATCATATCAATTAGAATATTGTCATTATTATTATTATTATTATTACTATTATTACTATTATTACACGTACTTTGCAGGTTTCAAAGAAGCCCAATCATCATGATGTTTAAATGTCCACGGCACTCTTCCTTTTAAAAATAATGTATCCAATCCTGAATATACTATGAAACCCCATAATCCAAATGGGTTATTAATTGAGGGTCTCACATTTCTCACTTCATACAATTCCTTATAAATCCATGAATTCTCAATTGACTTCTCATACTCATCAAGGATTATTGGATCGGAACTAGAATTGCCAGTTTCTGATTTAGATGCTAATGCTTTATATGCTGCTTCTCCTGCAAGCATTCCTGATTTCATTGCAGTATGAGTTCCCTTGACCTTTGGGACATTCATAAATCCGGCCGTACATCCTATCAATGCTCCGCCAGGGAATACTAATTTAGGAATTGACTAATAATTTAATCATAATTAATTGATTGATTGATTGATTAATATCATCGTTATTACTGATTATTATTATTACTATTATTATTATGGTACCTGATATCCGCCTTCATTTAATGCTCTAGCTCCATAACATGTAACCTTTCCACCTTCAAGAAACTTTCTTATATACGGATGAAGTTTATATCTCTAATATTTATAGTAAATAAATATTTAAATATTTTTAATTAATAAACAATAAAATAACAAAATATTTTTAATTGGTAAATATTAATTATCCGGTCACAAATTTATGTTCACCTGAAATTCTTTGTATGGATTTAAATATGGATTCTGATAGTCTAATCCTACCACATATCCAACTTGGACAATATTATTTTCCATGTGATACATAAATCCACCACCATAAGTTTTATAATCCATTGGATATCCTATAGTATGCACCACCAATCCAGGTCGATGCTTGGCTGGATCTATTTCCCAAACTTCCTTTATCCCAATTCCATAGGTTTGTGGCTGCTTTCCTTCGCGAAGGTTGAATTTGTTTATTAATGTCTTGGTAAGTGATCCATGACATCCTTCAGCAAACAGTGTAACTTTAGAATGGAATTCCATCCCTCGCTCAAAATTGCTTTTTGGTTTGAAATTTTTGTCTAATCCCATATCATTTGTTGCTACTCCACGCACACTTCCATCCTGATTATACAATACCTATAAATCACACGATGTAAATGTGTAAGAGAGCGAGTGAGTTCATGTGTGAAAATACATGCACAAGTGTATTAATGCTTCACATGCAATTACCTCACTGCCAGCAAAGTTAGGATAGATCTCTACATTTTCAGCTTCTGCTTGATCACCTAACCATTGAACAAAATTATTTAGACTGATAACATAATTGCCTTTATTGCTGGATTGTGGTGGATGTGGAAATATTGGAATTGCCAAATTTTTTGTTAGAAATTTTAAATGATCTTCCTTTGCTTCCTGATTTAACGGTGCCCCTTTCTCCTTCCAATCAGGAATCAATTCATTTAATGCACGTGGTTCAATAACCGCTCCCGAAAGTGTATGTGCGCCTAATAGGTTAGTTAATTATTTACAGTAATTATATAATTCCATTCTAGCAATCAAATATGAGTCAAGGCATACAAACCAATTTGACTTGCTTTCTCCAATACCACAACACGAACTTCTTTACCCTCAGCTTTTGCCAGCTGTTTAATACGTATTGCTGCTGATAAACCTGATGGGCCACCACCCACAATAACAACATCTGTTTCGTCTGCAAATCTTTCTTCTGTCAATCGAGGATCAACTCCATTTTCATTTTCTGCTATCGATGCAAAACTACGTCCTCTTGTTGCTAACGATGATATAAATGTTGAGGTGAATGTTGAGGAGGGGGAGGAAGCTAGGTATCTTGTTTTCTTAAGTGAGCTTAACGACGTTCTTGGTTTTATGAAATTGAAATATTTGTAATAATTATGTAAAGATGCCATTATTATTATTAAGGTTTTTTTGTTGGTATAATAAATATAAATAAAACTAAATTGAATTGATAATCTATTATTATTGTATAATCTAATGTAATACAAATAACGCAAATTAAATTTTCTTATTTTTATTTTTTCAAAGCAACGACAATAAAAAATCATGGGATTCTATGAATTACTTTGTATAACAAGAACCGGATTATCTCATGTAAAAATAAAGACAATGTATATTCATTCCTCAAAGATAAATTTATAACTAATTTTTTCTTTTTTTTTTTTTTCTTTCTGTCATTCTGTCTTTTTTTATTTTTTTTTCACACACCCGTATAAACAAATAAATTGAAAAAGGCAGATTTTACAAATCTTGTAAAAATTACAGCAACACATATACTTGAACGTGGTGGTGTAGTAAGAGGTTTTGAGAATTGGGGAGTTTTGCCTCTACCAACTAAAACACGCAGGCACCAAGTGTATCATACAAATGGACAGTAAGTGTATCAGTGTATCATTAGGATTGCATTAGTGATGATGATAATAGAAGTGTACTATTAATGTTATCAATGCATGCACATTTTCTAATATTTACCAAATATTCATCTTTCAACAATTTCAGGTTTTGGTTGATGCATTTTGATACTAATCCAGTGGTATTGCATGAATTAAGAAGAAAACTAAATATTGATACACGTGTAATTAGAGGAAATCTTGTTAAACTTGGTGAAAAACTTGAAGATATTATTGAGAGACCTGATAAAACAAAATAACATGTATGCTTTCAGCCAATCAAAAATATCACGTGAACACAAATAAATATTCAAAAAAATTTGAAAATCAAAAATAAATAAATATAATTTATTTAATTGTAATCTATAATAATGTCTAATACTTTTTTTATTCCTTCGTCCTTATACCGTAATAAAAATACATCCAAGTTATTAAAAACTTCAAATACATTTACTTCAACGAACCGAGTCTCTTCTTTAGCAGCATCAAAGTTGAATAAAGATACAACTTTTCTTTACAAGAAAGCTGTAAAATTAATTGAATTCTACTTGTCGGATTATTTTCTACTGATAAATGATCAGTTCAGAAATTACATTGAAAAGAACAAAAATGGTAAACAAAAAAATTTTTAAAATTATTTCGTATGTATATTTTTTGTAGTTGTAAAAGATATTAATTTTATTATCGTTATTTTTATTCTTAGGGATTGAATTGAAAGAATTGTTGAAATTTAAGGATTTAAATATTTTAGTAAATAAAGATTTAAATATAATTAAAAAATCTATTGCTTTGTATGGAAATAATTCTTTGATTTTCGAGGTAATTATATAATAATAAAACTCTTGATTGTATATAAGTTATTAATTATAATAATTTTTGTTTAGTTGATGGAGGATAAAGATCATATTAGATATAAAAATTCATTTGATCATAATAATCATAATAATACTAATATTATCACAAAAGAACAACTTGATGAAAAGGCAATTTATGTTGTATGTTTATTTTATATTATTAAATTTATCCATTATCTATCCATTATTTACTTTCTAATCTTGATTTATTATTCAGGAAGGTCTAATTCATCCATATGATGACCCATTAATTATATCACAATTATTTGATAAATACGCTACTAGTGGTGGTGGTGGCAGTGATGATGGTGTTGGTGTGACTTTTATTGAATTTCCTTTATTAAAAGATGACGAATCAAGAAGATTTAGAGGATTTTGTTTTGTCTATTTCAATAACAAACACAGTGTATCAAAAGTAATTGAAATGCTTGGGCACAATAATAATAATAATAATAATAATAATAATAATAATAATAGTAACAATAAGATAGAAGGAGATGAAAAGATGGATCTTGGAGAAGATGGTGGAGCAAATGATGTAAATGGAAAGATGGGAAATGGAGGAGCTGATAATGATTATAATCTAGAAGATCTTAAATTACATATAATTCCAAAGTATGTAAGATAATAACTTTCATTTATATTATATTGCAATACATTACATTAGCATCATGATGCATTATTCATTCGTTCGTTCATTCACTTTCCTGAAAACCCAAGAATTAAATGGAACAGATTAAGAGATGAATATCTCAACTTATTACAAAATGCTCAAGAAAAAATACCACATCGTATTCTTTATGCTGAAAATATTCCATCAGATTGGAACAAATCACAATTATTGGTAATTAACCTACCTAGTCAATTAATAGAAAATTAATTAGTAACTGTTTTTATTTTGTTGCAAAATTTATTAACTATTAATTTCTCTTATGATTTATTATTATATTCTTTTAAAAAAGAATTATTTAAACCAATTTGGTGACGTTGAAATGATATTATATGAAACTGGAAGTTCTTGTGTATGCAAGAAAAAAATTTTATTATTATTACAATTACTTCAATAATAACAACACAATAATAATATATATATATATATATTTCTCTTTTTTATCAAGTGTTATATTCAAACAAGTAGCGGACAAGCAGCTACTAAAATATTAGATGCGATAGCTTCTGACAATAATGTTAATGAAAATTTAAAAATTCGTGTTGTAAAAGGTAATTAAAGATTTTTAATTTTTGCTATTGTAATAGTTGTTTAAATAGCTATTATTTTGATGTGTCACAATTATTTATCCTTTTGTTTTCTTTTACAGAAAAAGAAGAAGAAAGATTTTGGTTATGTAGACGAACAAACAATTCACTTGAATTTATGATACAAAAAAAACAAGATAATGAACAAGAAGATGAGGATGGAAAAAATAAAAGAGATGAAAATAAAGATGATAAATTATCATTGTCATCACAACAATTACTTTGGCCTGGATCATTACAACCACTAAAAAAGAAGACTATTAATCGTGGTTTAATACAAAAATTTTGGAAACGTGAAATTGTTATTACAAATGATAATGGTATTGTAGATGGTGGTGGTGATGACGATGATGATGGTGATGATGATGGTGATGATGATGATGGTGATAGTGATGATGGTGATGATGATGAGGGCTATGAATAAGCTGATGAATAATTAATGTTGTGAAGATGCTGGCGACAATTGAAAGTGAAGAGATCATAAAGAAAGTCATGATAATTACAACTGCAATTATAATAATAATGATGATGAAAACGATACAGACGTTTTTCCGAAAGAAAGGGAATCCCTTTTGTTTGTTTTTTATGCTTCTAGTATTGTACATAATAATATGGCAACTAACTTGAAAAAGTGATCATTTTTAATAAAAAATTCTAATTTTAGTAGAATTATCAGAGTTTGGATAATTTTGATTGACTTTTATGACTTGTTATATATTACATGAGGCATAGTAGCAATAAATCCAACAGCAAATCTTACATAAGGACTACGTAGTGTTTTGCTTATTCCATATATATACAAGTAGCAGAAGTTTCAAATAAATAGATTTATTTTATAATTAATTATTGGGGGAAAAGTAATAGTTTTATTTGAAAGAATTATACTTGAGCACACGGTTTCAGGTGTGCTGATTCTTTGATGATTACAATAATCACTCATTATCCCACGTGTAACCTCATTTATCACTTTTATAATAAAAAAATTCAAGTTTTCGAAATCAAAAATTGGAATTGAAATTCTTTGTGATTTATTCAGCATGACAAACAATAACGGATAATAATTCTGCTCGAAAACAACGAAAAAAGGCCTGGAAGACACTATAAAAGTAACGGAAAATTTCCTGGAAAATATGATGCAAATAATAATAATAATTCATTTGATAAGTGTTTATTCACGTTACCAAATTAAGAAAGATCTACATGATAAACTTGATTTTTGATTTGTAAACTTGAATTATAAGAGAGATTGAAACCGGTTTTATTTTCAAGAACCGGTTTTACTCATTTTTTTCAAAATCAGAACCGGTTTAACTGGGTACCAATGAAGTTATAATAATAAAAGAGCAAAACGGGTTTCAATTGGTAAACTGATAATATCCATCCAATTCATAAGTTTTAATTTTGTGGGAGAGCAGTTAATGGTTTATAGTTTTGGATTAATAGGATTATTTGTTTTCCAAGTTGAAACTTGTTATTATTTACTTTGTTCAAGACAAAGTTGTTTTTACAACTTTAGGAATTCGAGTTGCTTATATACATACATGTCCATTAATTATAGTGTAATAATTAAATACAACATTTAAAAATGTAAACATGTTGATTTGGAGCCATCTTTAAACGCAATGTTATTACACTCTCACCACTTACCTCATGATGCTATTGCTACATAATATAATAATAGTATGTACAATCAAACCTCGCTTCATAGAATCTTGTTTCAACGAATTATAATTAAATTTCGCGTCATAATAACGAATTTGCCTCGCATATAAAATTCGTTGAAACGCGCGATTGGTGATTTTAATTTGGTATAATATAATAACAAATTTTAAATGCAAATTTTCTTGTGCGTCTCGTAGATTCGTTGGAACGAGATTTGACTGTATAGTAATAAAAATAAACGTAATAATAACACGAAGTTGTGTGAATAAACGTACAAAGCTTAGATCGATCAATTCAAAAATTCTTTTATTATATACTAAAACAAACAAAAAATTAAAGATCTTTAGGCGGAAACAAATTGAAATGTTTGTTATTTCTTTTTAAAATAAAATTCAGTTTAATCTAAGCCGTGTAAGATAAATTTCTTAGTTGGCTGATGCATATTATTTACAGAAAAGAATAGTTGGCTAAGCCATTCAAAAATTTCTTAATATTAATATCAAACGGGTTCAGCCGGTTTTAAAATTCGGCTGCCCGAAATAGAAACATTCAAGATTATTTTTGAAACTATGTATGATTTCAAAAAAGACTGTCGAATAAATTAGAAGAATGAAAAATTTAGTACCAAAAAAATTTCATTTTTTTAAATTTATCTTCCAAGAAATTTATCGCAATGCAGTATTTATTAAAGAATGTAAAATAAAAAAAAGACGCGCAAATATATATCAAAGAATTATTATATAAAATTCGCGATTATTTTTACATGATCAGAATTTTCGTAATTTAGTAATAGTAATGGTAATGTATTTTTTTTAAAGAACTGGGGTTTTGGTTTATTTTTGATAAATCCGATTGAAATCATAACAATCGGTAGTTTGTGTATATCTGATAAGTACTTATTATATAGTAAAATTATTTTCCTGGTCCAACATTTCCTTAAAAAAATTTTCCACTACTAGTATTTCTCGTGTGATTTTCCGACATAATAATAATAATAAAAAGCATCAAAATCTTTTGGAGCCATCGAATATAAAAGATACCATCATGACCATAATACAAACCGTCATAGTCATCACAGCAGTCATAATCATCTTTGGATGGTATGAATCACGTGAACCATCAACACAAGATTGGAGCAGTGATAATGAAATTATAGATAAATTGATTAAAGATACACAACTCAAAGCACCTTACAATAATAATAAATATCTTCAATGGATTCAATATCAAAATTTAAAAAACATTGAGAAGATATTTGAAGGTGGGTTTGCAACTATATACAAAGCTACTTGGGCAGATTATGGTATATCTGTTGCATTAAAAAAATTAGATAATTTGAAAAGTATTTCTGATGAATTTTTAAATGAGGTAATATTTATTTTTATTTGTTGTTATCACATAATTATATAAAGTTGGTATCTGCAATTAAGAAGCTA